AAACCAGCATTTTTAGAGGTTGCCAGACTCGCCGCAATACTGTGATCTGCGGTCTTGCCGCGAAAATACTTGGACGTGAAGTTAGAAATGAACGCGAGTATAGACCGTCCAAAATTGCAGAAAAAAAAACGAAATTTACCTTCGACATGGTCATTCTTCAACAATTTTTATTTTTCTCAGTTCTCAACGGATTTTACTCATTTTTATTTCATTTGAAAGCATGTCTCTCGAAGATTTAGAAAAATTGTAAAAACAGAAACAAAAATTCAAAACGCTCTTTCTCAAGAAGCAACGTTTTATATTTAAAAAAAAACACTGAAAAAACAATTTTTACACCAAAATATAAAAATTACAGGATAGTGTCTTTTCGGCATCAAGAGCTACGGTGTGGTTATTGACAGGAGACTGGAAAAAACCCTTAATTGAAGCAGCATTTTGGTGCTTTTGCAAGTGGAAAACCCTCTATTTCTACTGAAATTTTACCTGTTTCTGTAGTATATATAATTCTTGTTAAACTTTCCAACTTTGCTACTCTAGTAACAGACAATTAGTTAAAATTTACTTATTTTTGAACAGTTTTACAAAATTTTTCCAAGGAAAAAATTACTGTTGTGACTATTTTTTCGGTTTGTACAGTTCTGCTCGCTTATTGAACCCTTCTAACCCATATATATCACACCCAGTACTGTTTTTTGACTGCCAGTATTGTTTCGCTATTTTTGGTCACAGTAAGCATGCTGATACGGCTCAAAAAGCGAAGAAAAAATAAAAAACATTAAAAAAATGTGTTACTTTCTTCCTTCTCTTGTATATTTGCACAACGGCTGCTAGTGTAAATTTGCCCTTAATATTGAAAAATTATTAGGAGGCAATATAGGAAATCTATATTTTCAAGAATAGCATAAAAGGGCTGCTTTTACGATGCTAATTTTACCGTTGCTAACTTGGAGAACACTGATGCGGGAGAGTAGGAGAAACAGACGGTTACAGAAATTTCAAAATTGCGAGAAAAGAGCACGACTTCTAAACACGAGATGACTTTTACGCAAAACGAATTCGGCTACGCAACAGACATGCGGTTAAAGTTCGTACTTTTTTCTCAAATTTTCAAATTTCTCTGACTGTCTGTTTCTCGTGCTATCTCGCTTTAATACTCTCAAGCATGATAGTCGCAATGTAAGTATAGCACAGTAGCTTCATTTATGATATTTTTTTGCAATTCAGGATATCTACACGTATTCGGTAATGCCTCCGAAGTACTGAAAACACCTCCGCACAGAAAGGTGTCCTACAAATGAGGAATGAGAGGAAAACACGGCGGCTTTTTAGTTTTGCTTATGTCTAGCAAACATTCGAGACTATACTATTGCAGTTTTTGGAAACGATTCAAAAAAGAAATTAGTTTTTTTTATATTATTACTGCAACAGGAAGTGGTGCACCACGACAACGTAATAAAGATCTAAATGGTGAACCCGAAATAGAACAAATTGGGCGACAAGACTTTTGACCAAAGCT